AGAAATCCTTCCTCAGAGCCAGCCTGACCCTGCCCTGGGCAGCTTGAGGCCATTCCCTCTTGTCCTGGCGCTTGTTCCTTGGTTCAAGAGACTCATCCCCCCTCTCTGCACCCTCCTGTCAGGGAGCTGTAGAGGGCCATGAGGTCTCCCCTCAGCCTCCTCTTCTCCAGACTAAACCCCCCCAGTTCCCCCAGCCGCTCCCCAGCAGACCTGTGCTCCAGACCCTGCACCAGCTCCGTTGCCCTTCTCTGGACACACTCGAGTCATTCAATGGCCTTTTTGGGGTGAGGGGCCCAAAACTCACACCAAAAGAAAACCATCAGCCATCACTGGTCCTATCTTCAGTGTTCTTCCACTGTTACTACCATCCTTTTTCTGTCTTAGAAAACATTAAAGGGAAAAGCTTTAGAAAGGAGAAACTCAGGCACATCATAGAATCAAAGACAACCAGGTTGGAAGGGACCTCAAGGATTGTCTGGTCCAGCCTTTCTTGGCAAAAGCCCGTAGTCTGTGACATACAGAAAAGCCTAACTGATCTTCCTCTCTTCTGCAGATTCACAACGCACCTGAACTAGCCTCATTTTGTGAAGGCTTCTTCCTCAAGCATATGAGCTCTCTCCTAGAACAGGACTCATTCAAACAGCTGATCTACAGCCGGAACAGCAAAGTGCAAGGCCTGGACCCTCTGCGAGACCTGCAGACAGCCCTGGCCGGCCGCCTGCACTCCGTGTATGTCACCTCCAGGGTGTGAGGCGGGAGGGAGGCAGTGGCAGGAGCCCCGCTTCAAACGGCAAAGCTCTGGCTTTCCTGGTCGCCTTTGGGATCTTGCTGAAAGCCCCCCACAACAGCTGTTCCCCAGGCGAGGGTGCTGGGCCTCGTCCACGACCAGGGGGAGCTGGCTTCTCTGTGCTACTACTGTCACAGAAACACTGTCACAGCACAAACAAGAACTGAGGATGCAAGTGAAGAGCCTCAACTGAAGAGAAGATCAATGCTGCCATTTCAAAAAGCACACTGCAGGGCTGTAGAGAAGTGAGGCAACCCAACACCTAATTGTAGTCTTAAGTGTCTGTCTACACCCCATAATGGCCACCTAGTTCATACGCATTAGATGTTTTACTTGTAAAAAGGCTGCACAGAAGGAGTTTTCTAACCCTCTGGACCACTGCCTGCTCAGCAAGTCACCTGTCTGAACACAAAGGCTGGTGTCCACAAACTACTTCACTCTAGTAATAAATACCAGTGGCTACACCTGGCAAGACTCTGACATAAATTTTCCCCCAAACTGCTTGCACCTTGAGAGAGAGATATTTTGTAGATGTTCAAAGCTGAGTAGAAACTAACACTAACTCTGAAATTACTCACTCTTTAAACCTAGTATGAGAAACCGAGCTGGGGCAGGGACAGGAGTATTGGTTTTTTTGTATTTTTTTAATACGGTTTCACTGTGCTAGTTGTTAATCTGTTTTGAGGAGAGAAGAAAGACTATCTACCCTTTCACTATCAAGGCCTGATAGTGAAATCTATCACTTTCACCTTAAAAACCTGTTTCTGAACATTATCTGTGAAACCTGACACCATAAAAAATGTTTTCTAACAGACTCAGGTGTAGTAGGAGCTAGCACTGTGCTGAAAAACTGTCCAGTAACATAAAGAGCAATAAAAGTCTCCCTGAGACCCTGAGGAACATACAGCTTGATGGTTTGTTCTCTCTCGGGAGCTAGCTGGGGTGAGAAGCTCTCACCTCTAGTCTCCACCTCCACAGCCTCAGCCATGGAATGTTTCCACAGCTACGCTACCTCAGGGGGGACTGGGCCCAGCGTGCACCTGACAGGCTCCTAGAGGTAGGCTGCAGTCTAACATTTAGGCAGCAGCACTTGAACAAGATGCCTCAACTCAAATGCCCAAGATTCGCTTTCTTTGCTTTGTTCAGAGCTGATGCTTTCTGGCCCAAAAGGACTCATTCGAGGCTGCCTTCGAGCTGGCTGACTTAGGAGAATGAAATGGAGATAGTTCAATCTAGAGTTTTGAGTCTGAAGCAATGTTTTTGTGTGTGTTTTTTGATTTTAAATAATCCCAACCTTAGGAAAGCAGTTACTTGTGTAAAAACACAGACCTTGCTCTTACCAATAGCTTTAAGGAAAGACCTTCAGGTGTTCCCACACTGATCTCTGTTAGCACCCACCGAAAGCATTTGCTAAGACACTTTTGTTCGTTATAGGTGGGTGAAGCAGATGAGAAAGCAAAGTTTTCAGTGGAGAACTACTGCTTCTTAGAAATGCAACAATTAATACTGTAACTAAACACACTGGAAGGAGGAGGCGGCTCAGCTGGGCCCAAGCTCCAAAGCACAACACAGACATGGTTGAGGTAGGTCAAGGGAAGGAGAACAAACTCCAGCATCTCCCAACAGCTCCATCGAAGTCTGACCGTGCCTCATCCCTGAAGGATTTCCACGGGAGGCAGACTGCACGCGAGGACGAGAATGATCAGTCTCAGCTCAGTACTGACAGGCACCTTCTAATCTGTGCTTTAAGTACACACCCACTCCTGACTATCACCAGCTTCAGTAACCCTATTTATTGTCAGAAAGCCATACAGGTGTTTCAAAATTATCACTGGTCTGCCTGAAAAATACCACAAAAGGCTTTATCTTGGAAAGTATTTTCAAGTAGCTGCTCCAGCTATCTGTACAAATATGTAGGTCCTCTTTTGTTGCTGTAATATTACAATGCTTTGTTAATTGTACATTAATGTTGTCATTTATGTAAATGTACCAGGATTTTATTAACAACGTAATTTTAAAATACACAGCTGCTGTTGTTTATTCTGCTCTTCTAACAACAACAAAAACTGTATTTAAAGACACTTCTGTGGAAAAGGCAGTTGTGGCTTCAGCATCTTAAATTTCTTTTGGTATATATAGCTAATGCTATGCTTTAAGACAAGGGATAAAGAAGCATTAACTTCCCCTTCCTAGGCTCAAACATTTTTTGAAGTGGCAAGTTTAACTTGAATTGTCCCTAGCTGCAGTAAGTTTACCTGCTTTCCATCGAAAAGCAGCCAGATGGTAGTGTCTAAGAAAAATCCTAATTCTAAGATCCTTCTCTGCAGCAGAAGAAACAGTGAGAGACTTAAAACAACTATTAACCTGTAGGTATTCAAGCAGTCCTCAGAAGTTAAACATCTGATTCACTTCCAAATCTGAAAAAGAAGATGTGAAAAAGCAGGTAATGCTCCCTTCTGGAGCCACCTCAGACCTCCAGAGGCCACAGTGGCTCTGGCTGGGCAGTGGCTGGTGCCTCCCCGTGGCAGTAGCGGGGTTTGTGTCAGAGCATTGAGAACGCCCCAACAGCCGCACAAAGCCAGGCCTGCAGCCCTACAGGGAGCAAGGGCATTTTTTAATCTATGAGGTGAGAAGTATGCAGGTTTAATTCCGCTGTCAGAGCAAGAATTTGACCCAGAAATGTCTTCCCTTTCCCTCCCCAAAGTTTACCTCATAAATCTTACAGACCTCTACCATGTTTGGGGATAATGGCTGAGCTGTAACTCTGAATTTGGTGCTACCTCTACAGGACTCGAATACTTTCTTAGGTCACTAAGCACATTTCAGAGGAAACCATTAATACAGCCAGAACCTGCACTGGGCTGCTGAGACTTCGTAATTGCTCCTTTTGTTGCATTTCCCACCACACATCTGAACAAAGGGAACTGTGCAGAGTATCTCTGTGGTGTAGCAAGACTTGAAATCCAGTTCTATAATAAATTACTGTCACAAGCATTTCTTAGCATTTGATTTACATCATCTGAGAGAAGTCTGCTGGGAGCGATGCATGAGGGGTGCTTTCTCTTGCGTTGTGCCGTTCCACCGGCACTCTTGGAAACCCACCAATACAAACACCGACTTGCTCTCAAGAGTCACGGAATACAAACACGCGAGATTCCCTTTGGAACACTTTTACTCTAAGAAGTAGATTAAATAGCAATTTCGTATGAAACTAGTTGCATACCACCTCTACTTTGCACAGCGCTGCCTTGGCCTCCTAGAAAGTAATGTAACAGAGTTTGCCCAGCTTTGGAGAAGCACAAAACTTTGCTGGCTGTAATTGTATCATTTCAGGGGGCAGAAAATAGAGCTCACACATCTGCCTGAACAGGCCTGATGACTAAAATAAAACCTTTTTGCTTTATAATAATCCCTTGCACAGCCGACAAGCACCGGCTAATGTAGCTCCACTACTAACTGGCTCTTTGCCCCCACCAAATGCTGCCCAAGCAACCAGACATGGCTTCCTGCACCTGCCATAGCTGAGACGGCCAAGGAGACACAGGAGGGAAAAAGGAGGAGTGGCGATTCCCTTGAGGAGCAGGGCCTGCAAGCTGCTGTCGCCACTGCCTGTGGCAGGGGACTCACACGCTAGATTTGCCTCCCCAAAGGGCACATTTTGAGTGTAAGGGATCCATTAAGCTACAGCAAAGAAAAGAGAATATTGCACTTCGCACTGTTTGCCCAAGTAAGAGAGGGGCAGGAAAAAAGGTTTCCATCATATGATGAAAAAATCACAGCACAGCAAGGAAAAAGGCCTCGCTACCAGCAACACCCAGCCCCGAGCTGGAGTCAGTTCAGTGCTGTCTGTAGCTAGAAAAATGAGCAGGCCAGTTCCCAAGGGCTCGGGCACTCTAAGCTCACAAGGGGCCAGTGGCTTCCTACACCAAGCACAGGGTTTCAGCCAGCGCTCCCATGCCCGTGTCTAGCTGCAGCAGGCTCCCTGTGCCCCTTCACCTGCCACGGCTGCTAACAGAAAGCAGTCGGTAGAGAACACACGCCACGAGGTGCAGTAGTCTTAGGGCCCTTACTGAGACAGGCTCGTGATTCAGAGACTACATAGGGAAGAAGCAGTGACACCGTCAAACAAAAATTCATCTGTGGAAGCAAAAAAACACCCTCCCAAGGGAATATCATGATGGCCAAATAGAAAAGACATAACTTCCTCCTGCCCCTTCTCCTTGCCCGTATCCAGCACGCCAAGCTTTGCCTTCCAGCCAAGCTCACTTCTCCCTCACAGAGCTGCGGGAGGCAAGAGCCCTCCTGCAAGCCCAGCCAGCTCACAGCAGCAGGGACCATCCTCAGCTTCACTGGTTTTACTTCCTCCCAGATACCTCGCAGAGGTCAGCTCACTCCAGCTGTCAAAATAGCTCACGGGTCTCCAAGCAAGCTGGATGATTCCACTGACAACTAGGTCACATCTACCCACCACCTGCAGAGAGCAGCTCAGCTAGATGTGGCTTTCCCATTCCCCTCCAATTAGCCACAGTCGTCCATCACTGCATGCAAGACACAAATACATGTGGGTAGTGGGTTATGCACAGACCCATCCCCTGACCAGGAAAGGAGGCGGCAGGGACAGCTGAGCAGGCTTTGCCTGTGGTCAAATGCCTGCAATGCAATTAGCAGGACACAAGGCTCCCTCAAGCATTCACAGCCCCATCTGCAGGGCATCCAGGTCTAGAAAAACCAGAAACCTGCTCTAGTCAGAGGGAAAAACTCAAAAGCAACCAAACCAACCCAATCCTAAAACTCAAAGATACAGAACTCGCTCTCAGCTCCAATGTCACGTGGCATTTTAGTGCACTTCTGGCTACAGAAAGACGTGCAACCTAACTGGTGTTGGATTGCATTCAGCTAGCCCTTACTCTAGCTGCAATTTTAACCCAGCTTGACTGATGGAAAGCACAGACAGAGGAAAATGTGGTTTGACTAGACTTGTTAGAAAAAAAAAAAAGAAAAAAAAAGATCCACATCTCTCACTTATTTTAGTATCTGAGGGCTTTTTTCCACTTTGCTGTTCAAAGAGCAATAGACAAGCAGAGGAATCCAGAAAGCTGCCAGGAATCATAAAACGTACACGGAAAACCTGAAAAAGAATGGTTCAACCGAATACACACATTTTCTGTAGAAACAGCAAAATTCTCCTTAAATACAACTCCCGCTTAGAAACAGGGGGCACACACGTAGAACAAACCCTCCAAGTCTTTTACAGTAACTACAGCACACCCAGTTCAGAGACAACAAAGCAAGAATTACCACAGCCTACAGAAAGCAGCCGATGCAGCTCTAGAAAGATCTCAGCTAAACAGTAAAATTATAATCTGCTTGAAGAACCCCACTAAATTTTGCCTCCTATCTTCCACCTTGATTTACAAACAATTTACAAGAAATCTCGCTGGACTGTAGATATTTTCATAGACCAGCTCCTACGTAGCCTGTTAACGTGAATGCTTCTGATACTTTCCCCAGAACTGTGCCAGGAAGTCAGGCATCAAAGTTTTTTATGATTGCTGCCTACTAGCATGAGAGTTTATTTCCTGAAATGAGCAGAAAACTTGGTCTGATTACAGGCCTCCACAGTAACAGCTTCATCACAGCCACGTGCAGGCCACAGCTTTGGCACCGCAGAAGCAGAGGACAGTTAAATTCACACACCATTTCACAGATATTTAGCAGGGCCTTAAAAATAAACAGAAACTTTGACACATTTTTCATACAAATATTAATTTTTTTGAACTTTTTGGCCATTTGATCCTTAGCTCAGCCCTTAAAAAAAAAAAAAAAAAATCACAAACCTATTTCTGAGCCCTAACAGCACATGGGTGTTCTGTAATAAAACTTCTCTTAAACTTTAGAGCCTATTCTTAGAACTAGAGTTTAACAGTCTTCCCGAGACATGCATTGTAATTTGCACCATTTTTACATTTTAAGGAAGTTCAAAAAGCATTTTCTTAGCACAATAAGTAATGTGCAATAAAAAAAAGCATTCTGATATTGTCACCGTTTAGACACTAAGACCCAGGGCAAGTAAAACGCTACCACCTGGGTGAACACATCCAGCAATCTGCATAGGTTAGAGAATCTAAAATAATTACTGCCACTTTATTAGCACAGTTTCCACACGCTTTAAAAGAACTCGAAAAGTGTTTAAAGCTTTGACTCGCAGCCTGTTAAACTACAGCTGAGTCCTGCCAAGCAGGGCATGTGAAGTGGGCAAGCCAACAATATTCAGTCAGCAGCCATTTGATACCAGTTCCTTACCTGACCACCACTTCAAGCACACCTGTTGCCCCTTTTTCAAATGGTTAAAGGATGTGACCAGCTTGGGACAATCCATAAAAAACCCCTTTTACTACAATAACCATCCCTCAGACAAATGTGACCAACTCAAGAGACCTCTGCATTGAGCTAAGCATGACGCTGGAGAAACACAGTCCTACAGGTACCCCTGGGAAATGTGGGTTTGATGCCGCAGAGCCCCTGGGCTAGAGAACAGCCTCCAGGCCCAGAGAATCCCAGAATCATCTGGGTTGGAAAAGCCCTTGAAGCTCCTCCAGTCCAACCATTAACCTCACTCTGACCGTTCCCAACTCCACCAGATCCCTCAGCGCTGGGTCAACCCGACTCTTCAACCCCTCCAGGGATGGGGACTCCCCCCCTGCCCTGGGCAGCCCATTCCAACGCCCAACAGCCCCTTCTGCAAAGAAATCCTTCCTCAGAGCCAGCCTGACCCTGCCCTGGGCAGCTTGAGGCCATTCCCTCTTGTCCTGGCGCTTGTTCCTTCGTTCAAGAGACTGGGTTAAAGGCCCAGCCATGCTCCTCCTGTTTGTCAGAGCTGGAAGAGACTGGCCACTGAAAAGTCTCCAGCACTAGCCACAGCCCCTCCAGCCTGACTGCTGGAACATCCCGGCGGTACAGCTTGGCTCTTTGTCCCTCAGCACCGAGTCAGGCACAGAGAGCTGACAGCAGCAAGTCCCACAGACCCCACCCCCAAGGTAAGTAAGGCTTTCTAGCTCTTCATCCTCCTCCCAGCAGGGCCACCACTTACCCTATTTTTAACAATAACAGCAAAACCAGGGAGAATTCACACTCACCTTTTCTTCTGAGGATTTCCCAGACAGCTTTGTCTTCGCCTTGTCTGCTCCTTTCACAACTTCTTTAGAGCTGGTTCAGGGCAGGCAGCCACCACCTCACCCCTGCAGGCTGCCGGTGCTGCTCTCACACAGCTGGGTGGTAACGAGGCCCCTCATCAGGCCTGTAAGAGCTGCAGCTGCAGGTCTCCCTTCTCAGGGCTCAGCTGTCCCCCCACACGTGGGGGATGTGCCCTCAGCACTGACTCTCACACAGTGGCCTCCTGACCAAAGAGCACACAGGCTGTGCAAGGCTCATGCTTAATATAGGTGCTTCATAAAATAGTCTCCTGGAGAAGAAATGCTGTCTTTATCTAGGAAGAAACTGGTTCTTTAAGGATTTGCTGGAAAAAGGAGCTGTGAGATTCACAAGTAAATATAACGCAGCTGTGTATCCTAAGTGTCTCCGTTCCAAACCTCTAGGGTGTGAAGCTGGAACATCAAGACAACACACCAGGACACTCAGGTTTGGGACAGGGCCAATCTGTGTCAGTTTGCCCTGGTTTGGAAGCCTCTGGAGTCTGACAGGCACCAGACCTACACAGTACTGCAGTCCCAGAAGGTCCCAGCTCCAGACTGGCAGATATTTATTACCAAGCAAGGACCACCGAGCAGGAGAGCTGGGGAGTTCAGGGGCTCAAAAAGATCACTAAGAGCAGGTGTCAGTATGATAGTGCTGATTTCCCAGCAACCTTAGCACAAAACTCTCCACCAAAGCCAAGCAGCAGGTGTAGGTCAGCCGATAGCAGGGAGTCAAGAGTGGCCAAAGCAGCCTCCCCAGTGCTTGTTAATCATGCAACCCTGCCTGAGAACTAGGAAATGTAAATTACTGAGTGATGGGAATGCTGAGACCTCGTAAGCAAGTGTGAATGCAAAAGAGCAGCCTTTATTGCAGCTGCTGGAGGAGCACAGTAAGTAGGAACTATAGGCTACCTTCCAAAATAGAAGTGTTCATTGTACACCCTGAACTCCTGTGAGCAAGGACCAAATCACGAGTCTGAGCTGACAACAT